AGATTTCAACCCAAACACACCGAGCCTGAAAGCCCAATCCACAAACCCTCAGCACCAAGCCTGTTTTGTGATGCAAATCCCTAATCCCTTGAACCCTGAGCTGTACGTCGTAATTAAGCCTTACTGTAAACCCTGTCGTAATTAAGCCTTACCGTAAACCCTAGATGATAAACCCCTTAAGCCCCTGAAGACCCTGAAGCCCCTGAAGCTAAACCCTGTCAAGTGATGTCGGGGGTCTGCATCCCGACGCCTGCGCCTCTCTTCCCCAATGTCTCTGCAATGCCGTTCTTCCCAAGCCCAGGCCCTACGCCGTAAACCCCGAGTTACGGTTTAGGGTTTAGGGTTTAGGGTTTAGGGTTCGGTCTCATGTCCAAGCATTCACCAGTCAAGCAGCTTGTCAAGTGACAGGGAAATACCCACCCGCCCACTGGGTCCCACCACATTAGGAAACCACTTCGCTTCACATCTCAAGCCAGCCTCCCTTTCAAACACTAAGCCCAAGGCTCAATAGGCCCTCAGCCCTAAAGCCCAGCGCCTAGTAGCTCTTAAACCCTAAAGCCGACGGTCCAGTAGCCCCTAAGTCCGAAAAACCCGCGGCCACTGGAGACTAAATTCCTCGCAGATCAGCAATCTCCTCGCAGGAACGGACGTCAACGCCCGAGTCAGTGGTGGTTGGGGGAGGAGCCGCCACACGGCAGGGCCCACCAGGGCGTACGCCCTCCGCAAGCGAGTCAGCCGCCGTGGCGGTATGGGCCAGGAAAGTGTGGACGGCAGCTCAAAGCTGGGCCCCTAAAGCGCACGACCCGGCTTAGGGTTTAGGGTTGTGGGTTTGGGGTTTCGGGTTTAGGGTTTGAGTAGCCCCTAAATCCTATAAAAACCCCCGGCCAGTCTAAACAACAGTAGAGGCCCATGGCATGCCGCCCACGACAGTTTGTGCCTTGCCCACGAAGGCTTGTGCCTTGCACACGAAAGTTTGTGCCTTGCACCCGAACCCATGAGGGTTTGATCAATAATTACAAAGGTACATATGAATACAGTATATATATATGTATATATATAGAGTCCTCTAAACACTGAACCCTGAACCCTGAACCCCAAAGCCCTAAGCCCTAAACCCCTAGGATTCGAACCAAAAACTTCAACTCCTCAGCCCGAAACCCGAAGAGAAGGCACCATCAGGTTGTTCCCCCCTTGAGGGCTGGCCCCTTGCCAGGCTTCCTTCCCTGTGAAGAGGACAAAGGCCAGGGATCATGCTTGGGGGGGTTTAGGGATGATTATTTGGGGTTTTTGGGATGGTTTTTTGTTGTTTTTTGGGGTTCAGGCTTTTAGGGTTGAGACTTGAGGCTAGATTTCCTGTTAGGGGTCATAGGTTTGAGGCGTTTTTAAAGCTGATGAGCGTTTGGGGTTTAGGCGTTGGGGTTGATTTCCTATTTGGGTTTCAGGGTTTTCGGGTTTCGCCTTCGGCTTTTCGCTTCGACGACGGCTCCCACTCCAATATTTCAGGGTCAGGGTTTACAGGGTTTAGGGTACACGTTTATGCCGGGGTGCAAGCTTCAAAATTCAGGCTTAGTCTTCAGCCGCTTTGTCCTGCAGCAAGATGCTTCTTCCCGAAGCTTCAGCCCTGAGACCTGAACAGCCGTTAAACTCTTCCAGCCAGACCTTCGCTTTTCAAACGCGGGCCCCCCCACACACACAAGGTTTGGGGCTGGGTAGGTTACCCGGTAGGTTCATGCTTTCTTTTGGTAGGGTGTTGGTTTGGCCTAAATCCGAAAAGCCATTCAAACCACGACAAATGGCAAAAGTTGCAAACCAACCTTCAAGCAGAGCTTTGTAGTCGGCGAGTAAGGAATCTTTTGTTGTGCCGTATGATCGCTGCATAGTCGAGTCCCCCTAACAATGGTTTCAATGGGTTTGTCTGTGGATGTCTGTGGCAGAGGGAAGACGCGATCAGGGCAGAACCACCCGAAACCCTAAACCCTAAACCCTGAACCCTAAACCCAAAACCCTAACCCTAAACTCTAAACTCTAAACCCTAAACTCTAAACCCTCAATCCTAAACCTCCTGTTCAGGCCAGCGGCATTCGCAAGAAGCGCGCGGACGAAGACGAGTAGGTGAAGCAAGAGTTGACCAGGGCAACCATGGCTTAGGGTTTAGGGTTTAGGGTTTAGGGTTTAAGGTTTAGGGTCCCAGTAAGCGAGCCGCCCCAAGCCTCAACAACCCTGCCCCCCAAACCCTGAAGCCTGACCCCTGATGTATATATATATATATATATATATCACCTACTCGCTGTAGGGTCCGGGTGCAGCGGATTCCTATACCTTGAAGCCGAACGGTCGGAATTTTTACTAGTCGTATTCCCTTATGCTCCCTATACCACCACACTATAGTACCTCCCAAAACCCTAGTCCTTTTTTGAAGGCCCCTATATTAAACCCTGCACTCTTCTCGCCCAACCCTGGTCCTAGAATCCTAACGCCGCGCCGCATCCTTGGGGAAAGTTGAAATCGGGGTTTAGGGTTTGGGTTTAGGGTTGAGGGTTAGGGTTTAGGGTTTAGGGCTAGGGTTTAGGGTTTAGGGTTTAGGGTTTAGGGTTTAGGGTTTAGGGTTTTGGGTTTTGGGTTTTGGGTTTTGGGTTTAGGGTCTAGGGTTTAGGGTTCAGGGTTTAGGGTTTAGGGTCTAGGGTTTAGGGTTTAGGGTTTAGGGTTTAGGGTTTAGGGTCTAGGGTTTAGGGTTTAGGGTTTAGGGTTTAGGGTTTTGGGCTACCCCGAAAAAGCCTGCGTGACCTCTGCCAGTTCAAGCCAAGAACGGGTTGTTCCACAAGTCTTTTGAAGGGATGGACCATCGGAGAAGAGTCCTTTGAACCATGAACCCTAAACACCACGCCCCCCCCCCCCCACCCCCCCAAAAAAAAATATAAAACACCAAAACCCTAAACCCTAAACCCTAAACACTAAACCCTAAACCCTAAACCCTAAGCCCTGAACCCTGAACCCTGAACCCACCCTAAGCCTTGTAGGTGCTGAATCCCTAAATGCAAACCTCCGCCCCCCTAAGCCCTAAGAAACCCTGAAACCCCCTAGACCCTAAACCCTAAACCCTAAACCCTAAACCCTAAACCCTAAACCCTAAACCCTAAACCCTAAACCCTAAACCCTAAACCCTAAACCCTAAACCCTAAACCCTAAACCCTAAACCCCTAGAAGCCGGCGGGATCCTTTCTAAGGAAAGCCCTAAGTGCCAACTCGGCCGAACCGACAAAGCCGTCGCGGTGTCGCCTTTCGGCGTGTGCAGCACGCTGGTGCCAGAAAAGGGGTTTAGAGTTTAGGGTTTAGGGTTTATGGTTTAGGGTTTAGGGTTTAGGATTTAGGGTTTAGGGTTTAGGGTTTAGGTTTTAGAGTCTAGGGTCTAGGATTTAGGCTTTGGTTTTTAGGGTTTCGTGTTTAGGGTTCAGGGTTTAGGGTTTAGGGAAACATGACAAGCCATGCGGGGCTCCACATTGCTTCAGAGCTTCGGAGCCCTGAGGTTTGGGTTTTGGGGTTTCAGGGCTTCGGAGTTTGCGGTGTCGGATTTAGCCCCTCTCCCTCAATACCCTTACCTTTATAAACTAGGACCGGGAGAGTCGCCCCTTTTTTCCTTTTTCTAGGTCTGGGGTCCCCTTGTCATCCCCTTAAAGCCAAAAAGGGCACCCTTTTTTTTCCTAGGTTGCTCCCGGGTCTAGTAAAGCCTCACTAAGGCTTCAAAGTTCAGGATTCAAGACTTAGAGCAGCTCAATTCCCCAGACCCTTACCCCCTTTAAACAAAGGGAAGCCCCGAGCCCCCGAACCCTAAGCCCTAAACCCTAAACCCTAAACCCTAAACCCTAACGCCCTAGTAGACCCTACTGCGCCCGACCTGAGATCTCGAGGTAGGGCCGTGGCACATTCCCCAGCCCTAGACGGTTTGAGGGGCTATGTTCTAGAGTTCGACTTTGGGAGCCTCAAGGGTTTAGGGTTTAGGGTTTAGGGTTTAGGGTTTAGCCGGTCATGTTTTGGGGTTTTAAGATTCAGGGTGTGTGTCAGGGGTTGCAGGGTTTCACAACATTTACATGTCTTGTGGCACTACAAGAGTAGCACGCTAGAAAAGTCAATTGTGCACTCGAACCCCCTTGGACTAAACCGTACACCCTATACCCTAAACCCTAAACCCCCAAAAGGGACACTAACTAAGTCCTACCTGTGTGGCCCAAGCCCTTTCGTCAGTACCTCGGGCACGTACCGCCGTTCTAAGGCACATTTGGGAACTTAAAATAAGTTACCAAAGGAAGGAAGCCATATGGATCTGTCCGAAAATTGGGGCAGCTCGCCTTACGTACTATGATCCTTTTATGAAGACCCCTTCCCAAAAAAAGAACAAGAAGACGGTATGCCTAAGAAGGTCTTCTATTTTTCAACTTCAAGCCCTACACCCTGTTCTGGTAATAGTTAAGACAACCCAAAACGCCAAGCCCTTAAGTGCCTTAATATGGACATACGTACAGTTATAAGTATGATTATAATGGGTCAAAGTATCATGAACCTCCAAGTAACCCCCCACCCCTCGAGCCCATAAGTCTCACCCGAAACCCTAAACCCTAAACCCTAAACCCTAGACCCTAAACCCTAAACCCTAAACCCTAAACCCTAAACCCTAAACCCTAAACCCTAAACCCTAAACCCTCAACCCCAAGTAAACCCCAAGCCCCTAAACCCTAAACCCTAAACCGTAAACCCTAAACCGTAAGCCCCAAACCCTAAACCCTAAACCCTAAACCCTAAACCCTAAACCCTAAACCCTAAACCCTAAACCCTAAACCCTAAACCCTAAACCCTAAACCCCAAACCCTAAACCAAAAAACCCTAAACCCTAAACCCGAAGCCCTAAACCCTAAACCCTAAACCCTAAACCCTAAACCCTAAACCCTAAACCCTAAACCCTAAACCCTAAAGCCTAAACCCTAAACCCTAAACGTCTCACCCGGGAGGGAAGACGTGCCGCTGCCTCCTATGGAGCACGGTAGAGGCCCGCTGAAGGATCGTTAAGGGTATAGGGTCTGGGGCTAAACCCTAAACCCGAAACCCTAAACCCTCACGGTGCTCGCTAAGAGCAATGTGTCGAAGGCCCTCCTAGAAATCCCAGACTTTGAGAGGATCCAAGAAGTAGATCCCTCTGAGGGTACCTAAAAATGGCCCCCAATGGTAGTATAGGGTGCGATTTGGGGGTTCTAGTTTTGGCGTCCTCCCAGTCCCAGCCAGAAATCCGCCGGCAGCCGCGACCCTACATTCTACACCCGAATCCCCGAAACCCTAAACCCTAAATCCTAAAACCTAAATCCTAAACCCTAAACCCTAAACCCATGAGCCCGATACTGAGCCCTAAACCCGTGAGCCCTAAGCCTTATTGGAACATCAACTGCAGGCGATCTGGGCGACTATGGTCGGGTGCTGAGCGGATGTAGGGTTTAGGGCTTAGTGTTGAGTCCAGGGGCGTGCCGTTAAGGGTTTTTTGGTTCAGGGACGAGGGTTTAGGGTTGAGGGTTTAGGGTTTAGGTTTTCGGCCAAAAAAAAGTCCAATGTAACATGCTAAGTCCCCCAAATAGAAGATGCCTTAGGGCGAGATCCAATATCCAATCTGAGTATCCCGAAAGGCCCAAAGGTTGAGCCTTTTACCCCTCTATAACCCTAAACCCTGCGGTTTAGGGTTGGTTTAGGGTTTAGGGTTTAGGGTTTAGGGTTTAGGGTTTAGGGTTTAGGGTTTAGGGTTTAGGGTTTAGGGTTTAGGGTTTAGGGTTTAGGGTAACCCTATAGGGGTTAGGGCCTGTGTCTCTGAATTATGTTCTGACCTTTCTGAATGAGGGGGAGGGGGGTGGGGCGCCTGCATGGTTCTTGCTCTTGTGATTTTGCCCATAAGCAGGTGTACTCGTCTCACCCTTAGCCCTAAACAACCCTGAAACCCCCAAGCCCTAAGCCCTAAGCCCTAAGCCCTAAGCCCTAAACCCTAAACCCTAAACCCTAAACCCTAAACCCTAGGGTTATGTACGGGCGCTTAGGATTTCGGGGGGGCCCGGGCCCGAAGGTAACCCTAAACCCAACACTTTATAAGCCCCAAATCCCAAACCATAGAAGCTTCCCTAAACCCTAAACCCTAAACCCTAAACCCTAAACCCTAAACCCTAAACCCTAAACCCTAAACCCTAAACCCTAAACCCTAAACCCTAAACCCTAAACCCTAAACCCCAAACCATAGAAGTTTGTTTTTGCAGCCTTGGGCTGCTGCTTTGCTTTTGGGAGTTTAGGGGGGTTAGGGTTTTTTGGGGTTTTGGGGTTTTTGGGGGTTTTGGGATTTTGGGTTTTTTGGGGGTTTTGGGGTTTAAGGGGTGTTGGGTTAAATGGGTTGGGGGTTCTAATTTTAAGGCTCCAGGTGTTAATGGCTTTGGGGTTTTAGGGGTGCTACGGTTTTCGGTGCCAACGGGTTGTACTTGTTTGGGTTTTTTCTGGGGTTTTGGTGCTTTAGGGTGTTGGTGTTTTTTGCGGTCTTGGGGGGTTTTGGGGTTGTGCGGTTTGGGGGGTTTAGAGAGTTTTGGGGCTTTGAGTTTCTACGCATGCGCCCTGACGCCTTGCTTTTCACGAGGAAGTCGGGCAGCGTCTGCAAGTGGAGGCGCGGTAAGAACTAAGCCCTAAACCCTAAACCCGAACCCCGAAACTAAACCCGAAACCCCAAACCCGAAACCCTAAACACGCAACCCTAAACCCCAAAACCCTAAACCCATAAGCCTAAACCCAAAACCTCTAATCCCAAACCCGAAGCCCGAAACCCGAAACCCGAAACCCGAAACCCGAAACCCTTAATCCCGAAACCCTAAACCCTAAACCCTAAACACGAAACCCAAAACTTTTAATCCTAAACCCTAAACCCGAAACCCTAAACCCGAAGCCCTCTCTTTCTAGGATATTAAAACCCTAATGGGATTAGGGTGGTTTACCCAAGAGTTGCCTTATTGATTTTGCGGAGGCTGACAACATTTGGGTTATGACTGCTTTTTTATGTTTGGGTGATAAGATCCCTGAACCTCCAGGCAAGACACCGAAAGCAATTTCCAGAAGGTTTTCAATGCTTTTGGGGCCCGAAACCCTAGCCCTGAACCGTAAACCCCAAGCCAAACCCTAAACCCCAAACCCCAAACCCCAAACCCCAAACCCCAAACCCCAAACCCTAAACTCTAAACCCTAAACCCTAAACCCTAAACCCTAAACCCTAAACCCTAAACCCTAAACCCTAAACCCTAAACCCTAAACCCTAACCTAAACCCTAAACCCTAAACCCTAAACCCTAAACCCTAAACCCTAAACCCTAAACCCTAAACCCTAAACCCTAAACCCTAAACCCTAAACCCTAAACCCTAAACCCTAAACCCTAAACCCTAAACCCAAACCCTAAACCAAACCCTACACCCTGAACCACTTCAGGGCCTGGACCCGAAGATCCACTCCCTGGGCCTCCAGGCACTTTGTGTGTGTGTGTGTGTTTTTTTTTTTTTGGGGGGGGGGGGGGGTCAGGGTTTCAGGTTTCAGGGTTAGGTGTTAGGGTGTTAGGGTGTGTTAGGGTGTTAGGGTGTTAGGGTGTTAGGTGTTAGGGTTAGGGTGTTAGGGTGTTAGGGTTAGGTGTTTAGGGTGTTAGGGTGTTTTTTTTTTTTTTTTTGGGGGGGGGGGGGGTGGGTGGGGTGGGGTTGGGGTGTTAGGGTTTTAGGGTTCTAGGGTTTTAGGGTTTTAGGGTTTTGGGGTTTTAGGGTTTTAGGATTTTAGGGTTTCAGGGTTTTTAGGGTTTTTAGGGTTTAGGGTTTTAGGGTGTTAGGATTTGGGTTTATAAGGGACCCTATATAGACATATAAGGGTCTATAAAGGCCAACCCAGTTGTAGGATTTGTGGATTTTTCGTGCGCGCCGATGTTTCTTTGGTTAAGGCCCTAAACCCTAAATCCTAAATCCTAAATCCTAAACCCTAAACCCTAAACCCTAAACCCTAAACCCCAAACCCTAAACCCTAACCCTAAGCCCTAAGCCCTAAAAATCTAAACCCTAAACCCTACTAAATTGAATAGTTGAGGTTTCCGAAGAGGGTAGAAGTCCTCGGCCCTTTTGGGGCTTTCGGCGCTGTCCCAGTGAGGGCCCCGACTCAGACACAGAGAGGCTTCAGGGTGTAGGGTTAGGGTTTAGGGTTTAGGGTTTAGGATTTAGGGGTTCCCAAAGGATTTAGGAGGAAATGAAGGGGAAAGTCCCCATAAACTTACAGGGACCGTCCAGGGGAAGCCGTAATCCTAAATCCTAAGCCCTGACTCCTAAACCCCAAATCCTAAAACGACGAAAATCTTAGGTCCTAAACCTAAAGCCTGAATCCTAAGATCCTTTCTCCTAGTCCTAAATCCTAACAACTGGTGTGGACCTGCGGATTTGTTCGGATCAAAAAAGAAGAGGATTGGGTTTAGGGTGTGGGTTTAGGGTTTAGGGTTTAGGGACCCTAAACCCTAAACCCTAAACCCTAAACCCCAAACCCCAAACCCCAAACCCCTAAGTACAGCTACAATTTGGGTTAATACGTGCCATGAACCTCCAAGCACGATCCGGAGCCGAATCGTGGTTTAGGGTTTAGGGTTTACGGTTTAGGGTTTAGGGTTAATTCGAGCTTTGGGGCAGGGCACGGCTTGCGCTTGGCTTGAGACGTGAGGCTTTATTGAAGTTATTAAGGTGAACCCTGAACAAGTTCAGACCTGCATGAGCCCTAAACCCTAAACCCTAAACCCTAAACCCTAAACCCTAAACCCTAAACCCGAAACCCGAAACCCTAAACCCTAAACCCTAAACCCAAGGAATCTTACGGGTCAGGACATCTTCGCACTCTTTGGCACGATCCTTGACTGTAAGGCGCCCACGACTTCGCGTTTAGGGTTTGGGGTTTAGGGTGTAGGGTTCAGGTTTTAGGGGTTCTGGATATTTTGGGTGTAGTGGTTTGTAGAGGGCGTTGCGGTTCAATTTCGGGACTATCTTTGTTAGGGGTCATATTCCTGATTTCAGGTTTACTTTCTATGCTCCACTTCAAGATTTGTAGGGCTCATAGGGTTTGAGGGTTTAGGGAGTTCAAGGGGTCGCAGATTTGGGTTTCCCAAACCCAAGCACCGAAATCCTTGTCTCTCGCTCTGGCGACTTCCGTTCCGACTTGCTTGTCAGCCAGCCTGGGTAGCCGAAGAACCGAAAGTATTCCTAAGCCATTAAGTCTCACCCCCGAAGCCCTTAACCCAAAACCACAATTCGCAAACAGAGCCTTTGAAACCGCAAGCTCTCCGATCTCATGGGCCCCCCAGGGTTTAGGGTTTAGGGTTTAGGGTTTGGGGTTTAGGGCTTAGGGTTTAGGCCTGTAACACCTCAATCGCCATGCACCCCGAGCCCTAAAACTCCCAACTACTCCCGAAGGCTCTAAGCTTCCTTAAGGTTCCCTAGGTAACCTACCCCCCCCCCCCCTCATGAACCCCTAAACCCTAAACCATAAACCCTACACCCTAAACTCCAAATCCTAAACCCTAACCCCAAATCCCTTAACCCTGGCCCCCATGAACCCCCCCTCCCTAAGAACCCCATAGCACGCTGAGGCCTAGACTTCAACTAGTAGGGGCTTTACTCGGAGGTTCATGGTACTTATTAATGCTTATAACCCACTCATAAGCCGCCTAAGTGCCCTGATCTGGCTATAATTTGGGTTGTAAGTACAGTTAGAATTGATTAATAAGTACCACAAACCTCCAAGTAGGGGTTTAGGGGTTTAGGAATTTAGGCTTTAGGGTTCAGGGTTTAAGATTTGTGGGATTTAGGGGTTTTCTGGGTTTTGGGGTTTTGAGGGTTTTGGGAGTTTTAGGGGTTTTGGGGATTTGGGGGGTTCTAGGGGTTTTGGGTTTTTTAGGGTTTAGGCTTGAGGATTTGTGGGATTTAGGGGCACTATAGCAGTAGGCTTTATGTGCTTCTAGGTTTATGGGATGTAGGCTTTCGGCTCTTCATTGCGTCGACCACGCGCTGCTCTTCGGCCCTGGCAATAGCGGAATTATTTGCCGAAAATTTCAAGCCCCCATGCGCCTGCGCATTTTTGTAAATGGGTTCTTGGTTGGGATGTTCCCCCTTCTACTAGCAGTCCTTAATGGGGATTATCATCGGGGGCCCCCTATAATCCCTATGAAGGGCTGGTAGTATAAGGGGGAACATCCCAAGCTACCTGCATCTATGATCCTAGACGTCCCGCACCCCAAATAAAACCCTAGAATCCTGAACGCCCTAAACCCTAAACCCTAAACCCTAAACCCTAAACCCTAAACCCTAAACCCTAAACCCTAAACCCTAAACCCTAAACCCTAAACCCTAAACCCTAAACCCTAAACCCTAAACCCTAAACCCTAAAGCCTAAAGCCTAAAGCCTAAAGCCTAACGCCTAACGCCTAAAGCCCAAAGCCGAAAGCCTAAAGCCTAAAGCCTAAAGCCTAAAGCCTAAAGCCTAAAGCCTAAAGCCTAAAGCCTAAAGCCTAAAGCCTAAACCCTCAACCCTCAACCCTAAACCCTAAACCCTAAACGCTCCGCTCCATCGTTCCATGGGCGAGCCGACTGCCGGCCATGTCTCAGCCGCCTGCCTCAGCTCACAAGTTGTGAGGGCCTTGGGGTGTCCCTAAACTCTAAACCCTAACCCTAAACCCTAAACCCTAAACCCTAAACCCTAAACCCTAAACCCTAAACCCTAAACCCTAAACCCTAAACCCTAAACCCTAAACCCTAAACCCTAAACCCTAAACCCTAAAAACCCTAAACCCGAAACCCTAAACCCTGAGGGCTCCGGGTTTCGGGTCTCGATTTTGGGGGTGCGGAGATGCCGGTGTTGGGCGGGTTTGGTTTTTTCCTTTTTGTTTTTTCTCAGGATCTGGGGTTCAGGATTCAGGGCCCTTATATTCCCTTTTTAGGTTCAGGTTCCCTCATACCCCTACCAAGAAAGGGTACCTGTTTTCCTTCCTGGGTTACTCTTGGGTCTGCGTTGATTGGGTTGTGAGCATCTTCTTTGTTGGCTCCAGTGTTTTCGGGCTTGGGTCCTTGGTAGTAGGAGTTTTGGGTGAGGGGTCCCCGAGTCGTGCAATGTGCGTGTAGAGTCGCAGTGCTGGGAAGGATAACCCTAAACCCTAAACCCTAAACCCTAAACCCTAAACCCCAAACCCCAAACCCCAAACCCCAAACCCTAAACCCTAAACCCTAAACCCTAAACCCTAAACCCTAAACCCTAAACCCTAAACCCTAAACCCTAAACCCTAAACCCTAAACCCTAAACCCTAAACCCTAAACCCTAAACCCTAAACCCTAACCTAAACCCTAAACCCTAAACCCTAAACCCTAAACCCTAAACCCTAAACCCTAAACCCTAAACCCTAAACCCTAAACCCTAAACCCTAAACCCTAAACCCTAAACCCTAAACCCTAAACCCTAAAGCAAAAGCGATCGCTGCCAAAGTCGGTCGCATCACTTGCTCGCTTGTTTCAAGCCGCGGGCCCCAAAACACTTCACTGTTGCGGGCAAGCTGCATCGATTGCGATGGCCCTAAGCTCCAAGCCCACACTTCTACTGAGTTTCAAAGGAATAAGCAGCATGCATGAACTCAAAGATTTCGAAAACTCAAAAGCAATGGCTGGTATAACGGTATATGTTGTGCTAGATGTTCATATGTTTGTCGTTTGACATGATCTTTGCCTTTGAGCTATGTTATTGCATGACTTTCGTCCTTCCCCATGACACAGCCGTTCAATGAACAGAGAGACAAGAAGAGCAAGCAGCAATGCCTGTCTGACTGAAGCGCACAAATGGCAAGAACGATGTGCGAAGTCATGCAACTTATTGTTGGTTTCTCTTGTTTTGTTACATATGGTCTATGCACTTTTTGTTTGCATGCACTCATGTCGTTCGTTTCCCGGTACATCAACTAAGGCATGATAGCACGAATAGCCATGAAAGAGTATCTGGATCTGTAAACGCAGCCCTATTCATAAAGTATGTTGTTCTTGTCCTTGCGATTTTCTTCTACATTTCAGTGGGGCATTTTCCCATTGAACTCCGCATTGCAATCCCAACTGAAAGCATGGTAAACCCAAAACCCTAAACTCCGAACTTGAACCCTAAACCCTAAACCCTAAACCCTAAACCCTAAACCTTAAACCCTAAACCCTAAACCTTAAACCCTAAGCCTAAACCCTAAACCCTAAACCCTAAAACCTAAACCCTAAACCCTAAACCCTAAACCCTAAACCCTAAACCCTCCGTGTTACATACCAGTAATGAGCAGAGCCTCCCTTGTAACCTCGGGCGGTCGCCTACGAGGTGGACGACCTCCAATCAAGCTTATGGCTCTTTCTGGAAGGCCTGTTTAGGGCTTTCGGGTTTTTATCGTTTTAGAGCTTTAAGGGTTTAAGGCTTTAGGGTCTTAGGGGGTTTCAGGGTCTTGGAGTTTAGGGTGTATAGTTTTTGTGTCTTAGAGTTTTAGGGTTTCGGGTTTTCGGGCTTAAAGGTTTTTAGTTTTGTAGGGTTTTAGGGTTAGGGCTCTCTTAAGGGTTTAGGGTTTAGGGGTTTTAGGGTTGTTGGCTAGGGTTTTAGGGTTCAGGGGTTGGGGTTTTGGGGCTTCGGTTTTAGGTTTTAGTCTTAGTATTTAGGGCTTGGGGGCTTAGGGGGCCTTGGATGGTCTTGAGCTATGGTTCCTGTTGGGTAGATAGGGTTTAGGGTTTAGGGTTTAGGGTTTAGGGTTTAGGGTTTAGGGTTTAGGGTTTAGGGTTTAGGGTTTAGGGGTTAATAAAGTCTGACGCCCAAGGCCTTAGGAAACCCTGGAGCGTCTGCGCATTGAAGCCGTGGGATTATTGAGCGTTCTGACGTGGCCCCAAATGAAGGCCAAAAGGGTTTAGGGTTTAGGGTTTAGGGTTTAGGGTTTAGGGTTTAGGGTTTAGGGTTTAGGGTTTAGGAGCCCTAAATCCTAAACCTTGAGCCCCCAAGCTACTTCCTGCGGAGTAATGGTGCTGGCCATCTTGCAAGCACTGAATGGCCCTGGGCTGAGGGCATAGCGCTCGGTTTCAACTCGGTTGGGTTTTATTGGGTTTTAGGGCTTTGGGTTTCAGAGTTTTCGGGTTTCGGCTTTAGGGTTGACGGAGGTGGACTTGAGCTTTGGCTCCTGTTGGGTCGAAGCTGCTGAGGTTTCTTGACCTAAACCCTAAACCCTAAGCCCTCAACCCTAAACCCTAAACCCTAAACCCTGAACCCTGAACCCTGAACCCTAAACCCTAAGCCCTAAGCCATAAACCCTAAACCCTAAACCCTAAACCCTAAACCCTAAACCCTAAACCCTAAACCCTAAACCCTAAACCCTAAACCCTAAATCCTCACCCCAAAGTGGTTCTTGAGCTCCTGTGCAGGCCGTGCCGCTGGAGCCAAAGGCGCATGGTCGTCGGGTTTGGGGGGCGCTTAGGAGCAGGGTTTAGGGTTTAGGGTTTAGGGTTTAGGGTTTAGGGTTTAAGTTTAGGGTTTAGGGTTTGGGGTCTTTGGTTTTAGGGTTTAATTGGGGTTGGAGTTTGTGTTTTGGGGTTTGGGGTCCGTGGGTTTTGGGGTTTCAAGGTTTTGGTCTCAGCACGAAGCCCCGAAGCCCTTGAAGGAACCACTGTACCCTACATCATGGCAATCCCTAAACCCTAAACCCGGATTTAGGGTTTAGGGTTTAATTAGGGATAGGGGGCCTTTAGGGTTTAGGGTTTAGGGCATTTTTTTGTAGATGATGGGGGGAGGGGTCTGGGGGCAGGGGTAGGGTGAGGACTTTGTGCGGTTCAGGGCTTGGCAGAACAACTGCGGTGTTTTTGGGTGATTGAATTTT